CGCGAACAAATCGAGCCACTAATTCTGGATACTGGAAAGCCACGGGGAAAGACAAGAAAGTTGTATGTAAGCCTGCAGTTGTAGGATACAGGAAGACACTAGTTTTTTACCGCGGAAGAGCTCCTCTTGGGGATAGAACTGATTGGGTAATGCATGAATATCGTCTCTGTGATGATGTTTCACAAGGCACTCCTAGTTTCCAGGTAGTTGACAAATCTCAACATGAAGTTTTACAAGCCAAAAAAAAATCATGACCATAATATAAGTACTATTTAAATTTCTTCAGGGGCCTTTTGCTCTTTGTCGTGTCATCAAGAGAAAGGACAACATTTCATTGAAGACGAGTGATGTTCATGGAGGTAGAGTCTTTAAACAGGCTGAATTCAGTTCAAGTATCGAAGGTTTTACCTCAACTGTAGCCTTAAATGAACCCCTTGTCCTTTCTGATGACATGCCAACTCCAGCTACATACGTGTCCGGTAACAGCAACTATTCAACTCCTATTAATTCTCCCTATAAGACAACACAAGTAGAGGACTATGACTCTACAAACCTCTGGATGTCTCAGAATATGGTTCTTGATCCTTCAAAGGTATTGATGTTGTTCCTTTTTCTATGCATTGGTTCATGTTTTTTCTGTGAACTTCATACTAATATTTTGGTGGCTGGATATAGGAATGTCCTCAAGGAAGAAGTATATCTGGAAACTATCCCCATGTGTTCTCAAACTCAACTTCATGGCAGCCAAGTGATCAATATGACTTCACATCAAGTTCATCTTTCCTGAATTTTAGAGGGGAAGTTGAACTTTCTGGTGATCTCAGTGGCTATGGCAATGTATCTCCCTTCTCAGTCCATGGAAGCTACATGGAGTTCTATGGCAATGAGGATATTTCATATAAAGGTTATAACCAGAACGACTTATTGGGCAATCCAAATCTCTTCTGATGAACATTCGGGAACAGGATTTTGGGAAATTTTAATGGTGTATGGTCACATGAAGATAATATAAGTAGTCTGATGTAAAAATCTACTAAAAATAGGTAAATGCAACTAAATGTGCTACTGAAATAATCTAAAGTTGTTCTCTGAGACCACAGCTTTTTAATGTCTGTCTTAGAGTCATTCGATCTTATTACATCATCTTCGAGTTTAGTTTCATAAGTTTAAATCTAGCTGGTGTTTTGTCATTGAAGTATGAGATACCAAGTGATGATTGTTTTTCAATGATCTCACAGGGAAATGGTAAAGCTAGTAGCTGAATCTCTTAGATAGAATTAAGCCTCCATTACCTTCCTGATATGTATCAATGTTCTCATTCTGATCAATTCCATATATGAATTTGTTATCAAGAAACAAAATTTAGGTGTGTTATTGACCATCAACTCTTATATATTTATATAAACATGTTACGGAAGTACTGATGTTCATTAGCAGAACTTCCTTTCTAGCATCTGTTGATTCATCCCTTAAGCAACTATTGGTTGCATTATTCAAAGCTATTGAACTGTTTAAGCATATGTGACCAAGATTTAAGGGAAAAAACATTGTTTGAAGCTCTAAAAGGGTGAGTTGCCTGCTTATAACTGGATAACTTGCTAACCAAATGCACCTTGAGATTCATATGTCCAACTTGCTAAATTGTAGTTTGATAATGGCCTTGATAGCATCACTTGTACTCATAGGTATATGGATGAGATGCAAATTTAGACAAAAAATATGTATAGTCACTAATTTGGACTTTGTTTTGACTTCAACTGAGGAACTACTAGTGAGAAGCTCCTTGTATCAGGCAAACTGCTTCCATTCTTGGCTAAATTATTTTGTCAACATTCATCAGCTGACTTATTACAGGCAGAATTTAGACTCAAGTGATCTCCTAAAAGTTACACTCAACTTATTTGCATTATAAAGACTATATCTTGATATGATTGTGATAGTACCAACTTCCAAGTAATCATGATCAAGAATCTATAGCAAATGACATAGATGATATTGCTTTAGGGAACACAAAAGTAACTCACAAGCAAAGGATACAAGAAAGCAAGTTAGTAAAACGTTTGTTGAACTTTGTATCATTTTCTTAGGCACAACAAAATAAAATCTAGCAAGACGGCAAATGCAAACGAAGAGGTAATGAGAAGTTGCCCACATATTGGGAAATTGAAGGTCTATTTCCACACCAGATGTGTCAGTAACACCTTCAGGGGTGTTGATGAAACCCATTTTTCATAAGGCACCCCTTATCCGAAACCCACTGGCCCGATTAATCACACTGTTCTTTGACTAATAGAGTGGAAGCTGGTAAAAGTTTTCAGTCATATTCAGTATGTGCCCATGACAGTAATTTATATATATCATGATATTCTCAAGACTAAACAGTAATTATTTCTTGCCTCGGAAACATCTGATGCTGGAAGGAATCAAGGTAACTTAACTGATGAAGTTGATAAACCAATCAAGAAGAAATACAAAAGCAAGCCACATAAAAGTGAGAATCAATCAATTGCTACTTTATACCTCCTTGAACTCAACTTCAAAAGATGTCCTCCAAACTATTCCTCCTAACATTAACAAAGCTTTAGAAAAGTGTAATCAAAAGATCAGAAGCCATTAACTCAAAAAGAGAAAGAAAGATAGGTACACTAACTGATTAACCATTCGTCTTTCCCGCCCCCTATTAGTTCAGACATAATACCATAGGTAGATAGCTAGAGAGGAATCAACGAAGCGTGTCGCCCCTTTATCATTAAGCAAATAGTCTCTCAATAAATCTAGATCTCCTTTTTGGACTCATCTATGTTTTCTTTAATGTACTCTTTTTAGCCTGTGCTTTAAAATAATGCTCCACTAGTTGGTCCCATTGAAGAATGATGGCAATATAATTATTTACAGTAAATAGTAAACATCTCCATCAGTAACAAACTGGGAACATAGCAAACCAAAAGAACACATATCTCCAAATTAGCTACTGACTTAGCTGCTAGTTCACAGCAGGGGTGAATATAGACCATTTCTATCTGTATAGAGTCACTCAATTCATTCTTGAGTTGAATAACTTGAGAAATTAAATTTGGGAGAAACACAGAACAGAGAATCTATTGCAGCCATCTCTGTACAAAAAATGTGAAATTTACATTGCTACATCTTATGACCTGGTATATAAAGGTAGCATGGTGCACAAAGCATTCCGCGTTCATGCAGGGATCAGGGAAGGGCTACACTCAAAGGGTCAGTGGCTGATTCCACCGCTCAAATCTGTGACCTATAGGTCACACAAGGACAACTTTACCATTGCTCCAAGGATTCTCTTCATTTTATAACCTAGTATATTAATTCATATTTTTCTAGTCACTTCCATCACTAAGACTTTTAATTAGTTTTGACATCCATTTTTGCCAAAAAGACCGAAAACTTCATGGAAAACAAGAAGAATCAATATAAGCTAGCAATTTGAGGACTACAAAACACAAGAACTTCATCAATAACAGCCTTAGACTCATCTCCAAACAATGATTCTTTACCATCAGGCCTTTTAGCATAAGAAAGTCCCAATCTTGACTTAGCTTGCCTTAAATCACCAACCCCAGAATTCGTATCAGGTCCAGCAAATCCACCCATGACAGGAGCCAATGGAGGACCAATGAGCAATCCATCAGCACCAAACTGTGGACCTCCTCTAGCATAATCAAATAGAGCAGCACCACTTCCCCCTACTTTAGGCAACATTATTGGTTTTTCAACATCTTCATCCCAATAAAAGAGAAATGCATCAAAAGTGTCGTAATAATCATCTGTGCTTCTGTAGCCTTCTGGATTAAATGCTCCAAACTTAAAGGCCTTTGTTGTGTAGCCAATGATCACACATGGTCCTTTGAAATCAGATCTGTTATGGAATTCAGTTGCACTAAATCCATCCACTGATGCCTTATAGCAGCATTTCAGTTCCCTTCCTGCGTATCGATCATCACCCAAAATAAAAATTAAAGAACATACATAAGCTCTTGTCAGTGGAAGATCTAACAATAGGTTCGCGAATTCAACAGAACTCAATGTTTTGATGTCAAACACTATATATATTAACTTGATGGACTCAACCATTACAATTCTTAATACTGAAATATCTATTTTCCATGCCAACAATACTGAACTTGGATGAACCAGCAGCATTCAGGCTACATCCACCACTATTAATATAAATATACGAGCACGCCAAAATTAAGTATAGATAGTATTAGATACAAGGACAGAGCTAGAGAGAAAGTTACAAGTACGACATAACTCAATAGCTTTAGTAGAAATCTTGTATTTGCATTAAGAAATTCACTTAATATGTATAAATAACTTATCCGGAACCCAATAAGGTACTTTTTTTTAGAATTCATAACTCATAATAAACTCAAAACATTGGTTCCACCTTTGATTAGATATATATTTCAAGAATCCACAACGTCTAAATTCTGGATCCGCCTCTAATTGTGTTGTTTTTTTCCATTTCTTTATCATGTAAAAGAGAAGGAAAAGAAGTACCTTTCAAGAATGTTTTGGTGAGGAGGGAAGGAGGAAAAGGGAGATCAAGATCATGATATGTAAATTGTGGATTATCATCAGTCTTGTTATTTTTCCCAAAATTCCATTTAAATAAGCTTCTTGTAGAACATTTATTAAAATAAGGAGTGGATATAGAATTTAGTATTGCTATGGAGCAACTCATGGCTGAAGCAGAGTGACCACTCTCCTTCCTTTACCTTTATTTCTCTTCATACATAATCTTATCCTCACTATATGTGGAGCCATTGTATATGAAATTTGAAACTTGTGTGCCTCTACCTTCTAACTTATAAATTAATTCATTATATCAGATAATAAAAACATTGTCATTTTTTTTTAAAATGAAATCTTTTTATTTTTCTAGTACTTTTATGTTAGTTTTACATCATGATCTTATTTTTAAATAACATACATTTTCCTTCTTAGTCGGCTTAAAAAAGAATGACTCTTTTTTTTTTTTCTGACAACACTTTAATATAGCGTGACATGTTTAAGGCAAAAGATTAAAGGACATTTTGATACATTTGACATAACTTTAATTTAAAATCACAAGATTAAAAAGTCTTATTATTCAAATTCCGTATGAAGTCAAACTAAGTCATTCTTTTTGAAACGGTGGAGTGCTACTTATTTCCAGTTTCAGTCCAAATATCTTTCAACTTAAGTTTATAATTTTTAGCAGTTAAATGGATAAACAACATCAAGGGGTCCATAGCTCAGTGGTAGAGCATTTGACTGCAGATCAAGAGGTCACCGGTTCGAACCCGGTTGGGCCCTTCTGCTTATCTTTATTTTTTTTAGGAAATTATGATTCTCTTCTCTAATGTTTTTTTTTTTTTCGATCTCTTTGTTGCTATTCAAATTAGGTAGGGAATATCGTATCACCTACTTGAGCATAAGATTAACAACTCATCACATGTAGTCATGTACAAAATTTAATTTTGAACAAGGTATATAAAATTGTAAGTAGAATATCATTTATAATGAAAATAATTAAATACGTATAAAATATCCTCATCACTAACTATTGTATATATATCATTTGACTACTGAAAAAACGTAGCCACTAAAGTCTAGAGTACTCAATCTGCTGCTGTATGGGAGGAGGGGAACTCACTTTCCACTCTAGGATTATTATCACAACTTACATTAATAACCACATCATCATGACTATATTCCTTGAATTGAGCTACCCTTCCCAATTCTACAACTTGTTCAATAACAAGATCAAGTCTTGCAACTATCTCAACTAACAAAGATGCAAAGGCTGCAAATGGTAGAGCCTCCAAAAATTCCAAGCTAGTAATGCCATTCTTGCTTAATGTGGGCCTCAAAATCTTTTTATCACCCTCTTTCAACATTAAGTCATGGCTAAGTCCAAAACGAGCAGGATCGTCATTATTTACACTCGGTAAAGAGACTAAAAAATCTTTACCAGATTTTTGCCTAGTGGCTAATGTTGCTAAGGCTAATAGTATGTTTGTATTACTATTAGTGCTAAGAAAGAGTCTGGGTTGGGATTTTAATGCGTCGATGAGGTCTTGTAAGGCTTCATGGACATGATTAGATGGGATTTCTGGGCTGTATTTACGACGATTTCTTATGCTATCGCCTAGTTCCTTTAGTGTCTTTGTCACTTCTCTGGCAAGTCGATTGCATGGATCTTTGAACAGTACTCGGACTGATTGAGGAGTCTACAAAAATAATAATCAAGAAAAACATTTAATTAAGAAAGTAACAAAAAAATCACATTTAATTTAATCTAGAGATCTAACACGTTATAGTGTATATATAATTTAATCTAAAGGTCTGGTGTGCAACACTTGGCTAGAAAGATTTTTCTGGTGTATTTCTAAATGTAGAAAACAATTTATTGCATCAAGCACTCTTTAGATTTCTAGATTCTAACTGTTTGTATGTTTAGCCTTCTTTAGAAGCTAGTAGCATCACACATTGAATTGCTCTTGTTGACTTAGTGAGCACAAAGATTAGGCATCACATGTAACATGTTGTACTTGTTGACTTAAAGAAGACAAAATTTAAACAGATTTCTAAATGTGGCAACTTTTTTGTTGAGGTATTCTCTAGAGCTAAAAGGATATATAATTTTTTAAATTAATAGGTCTACCTGATTTACGAGAATAGTTTTGGAAGTGACTGGTCTTGAATTTTTAACCCTGCTTGCGTCTTATGTGCAAAACACCAAGTTGAACAAGTTTTGACTTTTGACCTTGAACGTTTTTCCATAAGGTAAGTAGGGGTCAAACAAGACTACACATTTTCAAGATCATTGGGTACATACGATTTTCTAGCACTAGAAGCCTAAAGAGATGGCGCACCCCCAACCCCCAACCCCCAACCCCACAGAATAATAATAATTAATTACCTTAATTTCAGTTTGCAGGCATCCATGTAGAGCTACTATTGTGTATCCAAAATGGCGAAGAACAGTCCCCAATTTAACATATTGCTGCCAGGAACAACTTCTTAAATATCTTGGCTCCCAACTTGCATATAGTGCCTAATCCAATTCTAATTTGATTAATTCTAATAACTACATTAAATAGTACAAGACTTGAGATAATAATAATTAATTAATTCTGGATATATAGCTTACCAAAGTTTCATCAGATGATTTGGAATCTAAAACATCCTTGTAACCTTTGTAAATGGGATCCTCCATTTCCATTGAATATTTTTTCACTTTTTCCTCTTGCTGATTAATATTACCGTCGCTAAAATACTCGTTAATGCAAACTGCAAGGTTTAATTAGTTGAAAAATCTCATCAATCTTCTATGTTACATGAATATTTAAGTTGATAATTATAGAAAATTTATTGTGTTTGTTCCATCTAATAAATTTTCCCTACCTTCTATTGATTTTGCTAAGCCATCGAACTTAGCAACAGTCGATAAATGGAGGTCTTCTCCTGACCAAATTGGAAATATAAATAGGCTCATGAGGAGACAGATACTACATCCAATGGCTATGGTGTAAAATCGCTCATGAGCGATCTTCAACACGCTATCAACACGATAGCTTGACACTGTGATCAAGTTGAACGTCAAGAGGAATATCACCACACCATAGTCGTAATTTTTCTTTATGTGAGAGAAAAATCTCATGTATGTAGTCATGGCTCCTGAAGAATAGAAATAAAAATAATGTATCCACTTTTATTCAATTGAAAATTAATCATAAAAAAAATAAATGATAATTGAATAAGTGAAAGCTTATTACCAACTAGAAAAACTGCGGTCCCAATGAAAGCAGCATGAAATATGTGGCCAGATTCATTGGCAATACGTTCGATCAAGAAAGCCAATAATCCTGCTAATAGTGTCCCTAGTCCTCTATTCAGCCCTTTATATAATGTTGCCCCTATATATCCAAAAAATTACAAAATAAATTACATAAATAAAAAACACTTGTCCATTCATATACTTAAACAACAATATGGAAACTTAAAATATGAGCACTTCAATCTCAAACAAGTTAAAATCGATTTAAAGAATCTTCACCGTCCATATTTCCCTCTTAAATTCAATTCAAGCCATCATCACATGAAATAAAAATAAAAAGTATATATTTCAATTTCTATCAGATTATCTTTACCTCATGTTGTAGCATGCTACGTGTCTAAAGATTTACTTGTAAATATGTTTGACTGACCTGATAGTATAAAAAAATTTTACACTGACAATATAAATTAAAAAACTTCTAGAGCCTTAATTTCAGTTTGCAGGCATCCATGTAGAGCTACTATTGTGTATCCAAAATGGCGAAGAACAGTCCCCAATTTAACATATTGCTGCCAGGAACAACTTCTTAAATATCTTGGCTCCCAACTTGCATATAGTGCCTAATCCAATTCTAATTTGATTAATTCTAATAACTACATTAAATAGTACAAGACTTGAGATAATAATAATTAATTAATTCTGGATATATAGCTTACCAAAGTTTCATCAGATGATTTGGAATCTAAAACATCCTTGTAACCTTTGTAAATGGGATCCTCCATTTCCATTGAATATTTTTTCACTTTTTCCTCTTGCTGATTAATATTACCGTCGCTAAAATACTCGTTAATGCAAACTGCAAGGTTTAATTAGTTGAAAAATCTCATCAATCTTCTATGTTACATGAATATTTAAGTTGATAATTATAGAAAATTTATTGTGTTTGTTCCATCTAATAAATTTTCCCTACCTTCTATTGATTTTGCTAAGCCATCGAACTTAGCAACAGTCGATAAATGGAGGTCTTCTCCTGACCAAATTGGAAATATAAATAGGCTCATGAGGAGACAGATACTACATCCAATGGCTATGGTGTAAAATCGCTCATGAGCGATCTTCAACACGCTATCAACACGATAGCTTGACACTGTGATCAAGTTGAACGTCAAGAGGAATATCACCACACCATAGTCGTAATTTTTCTTTATGTGAGAGAAAAATCTCATGTATGTAGTCATGGCTCCTGAAGAATAGAAATAAAAATAATGTATCCACTTTTATTCAATTGAAAATTAATCATAAAAAAAATAAATGATAATTGAATAAGTGAAAGCTTATTACCAACTAGAAAAACTGCGGTCCCAATGAAAGCAGCATGAAATATGTGGCCAGATTCATTGGCAATACGTTCGATCAAGAAAGCCAATAATCCTGCTAATAGTGTCCCTAGTCCTCTATTCAGCCCTTTATATAATGTTGCCCCTATATATCCAAAAAATTACAAAATAAATTACATAAATAAAAAACACTTGTCCATTCATATACTTAAACAACAATATGGAAACTTAAAATATGAGCACTTCAATCTCAAACAAGTTAAAATCGATTTAAAGAATCTTCACCGTCCATATTTCCCTCTTAAATTCAATTCAAGCCATCATCACATGAAATAAAAATAAAAAGTATATATTTCAATTTCTATCAGATTATCTTTACCTCATGTTGTAGCATGCTACGTGTCTAAAGATTTACTTGTAAATATGTTTGACTGACCTGATAGTATAAAAAAATTTTACACTGACAATATAAATTAAAAAACTTCTAGAGAGATCTAGCTAGCATAAGATCTAAAGCACATTACCTGTTGTGAATTCAAGAACAACCACCACAGTCATGACAGCCCAAATAGCATTTTCTCCGATGCCTTTGAACAATGGCTCCATTAAATATAACAAGGAGACCAATGACAAGGAGATTCCAACTTTTAGTGAGTGAATAACCCTTCTTTTATCTTCTTTCCCTACTTTCCAAATTTTTCTACATGTTAATCTTCCTAACCTCTTCATTTTCTCCACAACATCACCATTATTCAAGAAGCAAGAATTATTTTTTCCACTCATGACCTCCATTTCATAAAGATGAACCACTAGCTAGCTAGTTTTATGAAGGCTATGCTGCAGGGATTTTGGCTTTGTACCACCCCACCTTTATTTATATATGGAAAGAAGGGTATATGTTACTTTATATAGAAGGTGGATTAACAGGCTTCCTAATAAAGTCAAAAAAAGAGAAGCAAAATGAATTTGGTGGAAAGATAAGTTTACCTACTTAGAGTTAGTTTGGCAGTATCTATTAGAGGAAATAATACATCTAACGTTTTGGTATTATTAATCTCTTATTTGATATATAATTTGTCAATCTATATATAACTAATTACACCCTTTTTGATATTACCCCATGTATAATTAATAGATAGCATGAGCAATATAAGAATTTTTACTATAGGCATGGTTAAAGACATAAACGCCTTTACAATTCTAGAAGCGGGTATTTTTGTAAATAAGTATTTATTTTAAAATTATGAAATGCATGTTATTTTTAACAGACTTGACCAAACATTTAATAAGAAATAATGTCAACATAACTAATTTCTGCATTACTAATCTCAAGTCCAATATTACTAATACACTATAATATTCAACACTGTTCTTATACAATATCCTACCAAACGATTGATGTTGGTAAAAGAAACACCAAACTAATAATTAACCTTCATAATGTAATATGAGATCAAATGATTATGAAGAATGAGAGGTCCATTTGGAAGACGTAGGATAGTTGAATTAAGTCAAAAGAAACCAAAACTACTTGGACTAATACGCCAGCTAATCTATAACACAGCTAATTAAATTATGAAGGTACGTGTCAAAATAAGCAAGTACAGGCGGTGCCTCTGTTGGTAAACCAAACTAATTTGGTGTGTTGTGCTCTAATAATTTCAATGGGTTCAAATTGCAGGGGACACCCCAATTCGAGTTATTTCACGCCATTCATAGCGTTCAATGAATAATGAAATTCAATTCTATTATCTATAAAATATGATGAATATGTTTTTATAAATATTACTCCTTTCATCACAAATTATTTGCCCTTTTCTTTTTAGGTCCCTTAAAAAAAATCATAAATGAATAAGATATTCTTACTAAATTTAAGTCTATCCAATTTTAACATTTAAGAAAAACAATCTCACAATTTTTTTTAGCGCCACAATATATTACTTTCAATATCTATACGGTACTTGGTTTTTCATTCACCAAAAAAAAAAACAAATTGTCTTCACAAACTAAATTTCTGCCAATTTAAAATATTTAGATAAGTTGTTTTGCGAAGGAAAACATTGTAAAACATAAAAATAGAATTTCAAGCATCTAGATATTAAATAAAAAGTAATGATGGGACGTTTTAAAAAAAATTGTACTATTAGCTTTGTTACTCTCCTTGAGAAACGATTCATTCCTACAAAGTAAAACATAATTTTACTGACTTATCTTCGTAAATAACTTCAAAAATATGTAGCTATTTACAAGCTAAGTAGTTTATTGGTTATGTCTTTTAATTTGGACACTCTCCTTAAAAAACTGTTAGTTCCTATTTCCTAGAAAATAAAATGTAATTTTACTAGCTTATCATCATACATACTTGAAAAATATATAATTTTTTAATAGTTTATTGGTTATGTAAACATCTCTTTTTACACAGGAAAAAATCCATGATTTTCTAACCTTTTGTTAAATTTTCTTAATTTTATGCTCTTTTTACGAAAAAGATATATTTAAAATGCCGTGAGTAATCAAAGTAAAAGTAATCAAAATATGAAGAAAAAACAAAGACGTGGTCGGCAGGATTCGAACCTGCGCGGGCAAAGCCCACATGATTTCTAGTCATGCCCGATAACCACTCCGGCACGACCACTTGATGATGTTAATTAATGAAGACAATATATTAATGAGTTTACATAAACATGGGCACACGTAACTAGATATTTTCATATAAATCCTAGAAAATAATTAAATATATTAAAATGACTTTGCAGTGCAATGTGGCAGCAAACAAGGGTTGGCGGTTGCATGATGGACATGTGGCAGCACTCGTAGAGTCCAACCGTCTTTCTGAAGCTTAGCTAGCTTCTTTACGCACCGTATTTATAGTTTCCCTGCAATGAACATCTTCAATATATGTATATTATATTGAGTTAATAAATTACTAAATTCCAATCATCAACACAAGGAAGAAAATGCACTCAGTAAAGGAGAAAGTAAGCAACGCAGCTGCTGCTGGTAAAGAGCACGTTGACATTCTCAAAGCCAAAGCCGAAGAAAAGGTCACAACTCACCTACTATATTATTTACTTGTTTAATAGATCAAATAATTTGTTTAAAATCTATCTCGTCTAGACCGTAACTCAAAATTCCGCGTAAAATATTCTCCTTGTTAATTAATTAATAACAGGCAGAGAAAGCAGTAGCAAGGACAAGGGAAGAGAAAAGGATAGCAGAAGAGGTGAGAAAAGCAAAAGAAGCAGAAGCAAAGATGGAGCTGCATCAAGCAAAAGCACGTCATGCAGCGGAGACCCTGCAATCGAAGCAATCTCATCTTATAGGGCATCATCATGCGGTTGGTGTTCATCAAGGCCAGCAAAATCCAGTGGTCGGTAGTACCATTCCAACTACTGCTACTGTTGCTCCGACGTATCCTCTTGGAGGTTACCCTCCTACTTCACATGGCCATATCTAATTGGAGACATATATTTAGCAGCAGCATGTAATAGTTGCTTGTTGATTAGTGTGTAATTTCAGTTGTTTTCTTTGTAATGAGTGCTTTTGGAATAAATGGAGGAAGGCCTTTGCTTTTTTAGCTAGCTAGCTCCATTGACAAGAATATTGGATCAACTCTTAGTTGGTCAAACTTACTTTTTAAGTCAATTTTTTATTTTTGAATTTTTTTATTAAATATAAAAAATAATTTAAAATAAGTAAAAAATAACTTAAAATAAGTTACAAAGTGTTTGACAAGATAAAAAATTGACTTAAAATAAGTCAGAAATCAAAAGTAAATTTTTCTCTACTTTTTATTTTTTGACTTAAAAGTCATTCAATTTGATTTTTTATTTTTGACCAGCTTACTTTTTTTTTTAAAGCCAATTCAAACGGCGATAAGTGTCAAACATTTCCCTCGCACATGTTAGGGAATCTTTTTTTTTTACTATAAATAAATCACAGTTGTGACCCTCGTCTAGCCAGAACCGTCTCAATAAAATTTGGATTATTAAAGTTTTGAAGCTTTAATTTTTTTATATTAATATGTACTCTATAAAATTGAATAAAAAATATTAACATATTTAATATAATTTTATAAGTTCGATTTATTTATCAAGGTTTGGATATACGTAATTTTTATGGTGGACTTTAGGGAGAATGGAGAAAAAATTATTATGAATCTTATGAAGTAAAAAATTAATATGAATCTTACGAAGTAAGAAGGTTAATATAAATTTATAATTAATATAATATAAAATTTAAATATTAGAAAGTTAACTTTAATAACCTCCACCTTTGTTTTTGGCTCATGTGCTCAGAGATATCCCTTTTTCCACCTTAACCCTATTTTAAAATATACATTTTTATTAATTTAAATTCTTAATATTTACTTATTCCAAAATTTAAATCTATAAAAAAATTGTAAAAAATTTGTGTAAACAATAAAAATCATAAAAACATAGTAAAATTCTTATTCTTCATTTTGCACAATAAACTCTTTATTTTATTTTACATTTTATACACTATTATTTTATATTTAATTTATGGAATGATTTTTAAAACCGTCATTGGGAGAATAGGACATTCCATGTGTACAAGATTTGGCACCAGAATTTGGGAGTGTATGAAACGTAAAATAAAATGAAGTATTATTCTACTTTATATGTTATTATTATATAATATAAAATAAACTTGCAACTTGGCCAAAATTATTATTGTATGTTATTTATTAAAAAGTGAATTTAAAAAATATCAAATATTAATATAATTAAATTTTAACATGATAAATTGAATATAATTTAGAAATAAATTCAAATAAATTAAAAAATCATTCAATAAATTAAAACATAAAATAATAGTGTATAAAACGTAAAATAAAATAAGAATTTATTGCGTAAAAATAAAGAATAAAAAATTTAGTGTGTTATTTAATAATAATAAGAAGAATTTTGAGGATTTTATGATTTTAGTTTTACACAATATTTATCTATTTATTTTATAGATTTAAATATTTTGGGATAAGCAAATATTAAGAATTTAAATTAATAAAAAAAAATTAAAGTTGGGGTTGAGATTATATCTAAATCAAAAGGTGGAAGGAGGGATATCTTTGAATCAAAAATAAAAGTGGCGGGTATTTTTTGACCAATATGAGGGTATTATTAAATCAATTCTCATAGATTAGATGTATTCTTGACCCTTTTTCCTTAAATAAATTTGAATTATTTTTTATAAATAAATATATTTATTTTTTTAATGGAGAAAGTTCAATCATTTGAGAAACTTCAATATATTCAATACCAAGATAACTATTAATAGAATAACAAAAATAATACTAAGATAACTACTAATGGAATAACAAAAATAGTAAAACGGAAATGAAAAGGTAAATATATCAACAATATGGGTGCTCTTATGTTAAGAGCATGTTTGACAATGGGTCAAAAATATATTATTTTTTTAAAAAAAAAAAGGTGTTTGGCAAAACAATAAAATTACTTCTAAATAGAAGCAGAAGCCGTTTTCTTGCGGTCGGAAAGTAGCTAAAAATTTATGTTTCTTAAAAAAACAGAAGCAGAAAATTATTTTTTACAAGATCAAAATATCCATTCTATATTTACATAATTCCATATATATCCTTTATTAATTAAATTGCATATATCATATCTTTGGTAAAAGTTTCATTTAGAAATTTTATTTTTATATAATATTATTTTATTATTTTACGTTTATTATCATCTTTATATTTGATATATTTAATTATATTTAAATCATCATATCAATATTATATCAATATTTAATTTTTATTTATTTATCTATGTATAATATTGATTGAAAAATTGAATATGTACATTTTAATTCAATAAAAATAAAAGTTTGCTTAATTTTTTTATAATAGGTATTTAAAATATTTTTTTTATATAAATAATCTTCATATTAAAAGTACATTGATACTTGCCATTTTCTGTAATTTGATACCTAAAGGCACTTTTAATTTGCTTATCAAAAACAATTTTTAAATGAATTAGCCAAACACAAATTGTTTTTTTTTTCAAAAGTACTTTTTTGAAAAGCTATTTTAAAAAAAATACTTCAAAAAATAAGCAGGTTTTAGCAGCAATCTCAAACATGCTCTAATTATTAGGAGATAAATAAGGTAATATATAAACATACTACAATTTTTTAAATAATTTAGTTTTTAATTATTATAATATATTTTTTTATTAAATAGGATAAATTTTTATTATATTTTTCTATTAAAAAATTCAAATTTGATTTATTGATAGTGATCAATCGAATTGACACGTGTGCCATATGTATGTATACATGTAGTCGCTCTTTCGATCATGGGGTGGTATTAAAGCTTAAGGCATTGATATGTTGTCGACAATATCTGTAAAGGCTTCTTTAGAATTTAGACTTGATAAAGTTGGTATCAACTATCAAGAATATTTTATTAAAATATGATTGTTTTTAGTATTTATTTTTTCATTGATGTACTGTCGATCACATAAGGGAGTCTATATGGGCATTTAAGAACAATTACCAACCTTCATTCACTTTCTAAATCACATAAATGAATTGAGTATGGATCATCAAATTCTTTGATATGTAATTGTATACTTCAAGTAATTCTCTTGCATATATAACTATTGATTTGACTGAAAAATTAAACATGGTAGATGAAAATGAATGAACAAAACTATAAAAATATAAGAACGATTTTTTAAAAAAAATTATAAGAAATTATCTAAGATTGAGAAAATACGATTAAGAGAGAGAAACGATATATTTTAAAATGCAAAGTTTGATTTGGTAGAGTGATTTTAGGAGAGAAATCGCTTAGTTGTTATAATATGAAAGAGAGTGTGATTTGTATAAAACTAACTATCACTCAAATATAAGGCAAGTACAAATTACTTTGGTGCTTACCCCCCGTGATAGTCATTTTCACTACACAAGTAGTAACAATTTTTGGGTTGAAAAAGCTCGACGATTCAAATGAATCATTCTTCTGGTCTCTCTTCGCTCTCCACAGCGAAACTACCCATGACACATCGCCCCATCGCTTCGCATGCGGGAAAACAACGAAGTTCAGTTCACGAGACCACAACGCAACGGAGTGACCGCAACGCAGCAGAGTGGATCAGATGTGACACTTTCTAGATCTAGTTGGTTTATAATTAAATGAAACTATAAATATGTTAATTAATTTACAAGTAGATTTTATTCTAGTTCGTTTGAATTTAAATGGATAAGTAATAGCGCGATTGATTATTTTATTGTAATTGAAATGCATTTTTTATGTAAGGGATTCATAAAGATAATGTTTTCAATTTTTTTTTTATATATATATATAAGGTGCTAGTTTAATATAATTGAGATGCTTTCTAAAAAAATTAAAATCTTAATTTTTTATTATAGATATATGTAAGTCAAAGTCGACCAAGCTATATTATTAATTTATCTACCATAAGACACAAAATTAAACCTAAAAATACCAACCTATCCTGAATATTAATATGATAATAATATAATATTTATATGTAAGTCAAAGTCGACCAAGCTATATTATTAATTTATCTACCATAAGACACAAAATTAAACCTAAAAATACCAACCTATCCTGAATATTAATATGATAATAATATAATATTTATATGTAAGTCAAAGTCGACCAAGCTATATTATTAATTTATCTACCATAAGACACAAAATTAAACCTAAAAATACCAACCTATCCTGAATATTAATATGATAATAATATAATATTATTTTTAAATTAAAAACTAAAATTACCAAATCAAAATTCAAATGTCGTAAAACTAATAGAAGTAATTTAAGAGTTAAAAGAAACATTATATTACTTGTGCACCAAATAAACATAGTCTAAAATATTTGACCATGCGATACCCTATCACAATATGAAATCGTGAGATGGAATCAATGTTTAGACATGCGATTTCACGATATCATGAGATGGAATACCATATTTTTCAAAAATCATGATATGGAAATTTCATATCATGATTTGAGATTTTTTAAATACAAAAATTGACCCACAAGTTTATATTTTGTTAAAACAACCCCACATTATATCTACTAAACATTTATTTCATATGTAAATAAAATTAAGGGAAAAGTTTCAGAAAAATACTCCAACTTTGGTCAAAATTGTTGTTACGACACCAAACTTTATGGAGGACCTTTTACCCCTGCATTATTTAATAGTGTATTTTAAAGGTATATATGTGCCTACGTGGACACATTACTATTTATAATGATACAATATTTGTGATGTCCATGTGGACACATATATACCTTTAAAATACACTATTAAATAGTGTAGGGGGTAAAAGGTCCTTTCCAAAGTTTGGTATTGTTACAACAATTTCAGTCAAAGTTCGGATATATTTCAGACCTTTTCCCCTAAAATTAATAATCACATCATTACTTTTTAAAATTTATTATTCTCACCAACATAAAATTTATTATTGTTTTCAATTTGGTGAATATAAATGATAAAGTAAGAATTGATTTGGTGAATATAATTACAAACGGAGGGAATAATACTTTT